CGAGACACACATCAGAACATGTGAAGGGGCCCCGGTCTCCTCAGCCGTCAGGGACACGAGACACACATCAGAACATGTGAAGGGGCCCTGGTCTCCTCAGCCGTCAGGGACACGAGACACACATCAGAACATGTGAAGGGGCCCCGGTCTCCTCAGCCGTCAGGGACACGAGACACACATCAGAACATGTGAAGGGGCCCCGGTCTCCTCAGCCGTTAGGGACACGAGACACACATCAGAACATGTGAAGGGGCCCCGGTCTTCTCAGCCGTCAGGGAGAGGAGACACATGTCAGAACGTGTGAAAAGGGCCTGGTCTCCCCAGTCATCAGAGAGATTGAGACACGTCAGAACATGTGACGAGAGGGCCTGGTCCCCTCAGCTGTCAGGGACACGAGGCACACGTCAGACCACGTGAAGGGGCCCCGGTCTCCTCAGCCGTCAGGGACACGAGATACATGTCAGAACATGTGAAGAGGGCCCAGTCTCCTCAGCTGTCGGGGAGACAGGATGCACATCACAGCAACCGTGACTGCCATTTTTCATGGAATCAGGCAGAAGAAATGAAAGATGTTGACAGCACAGTGTTCCAGAGCATGTGAGGAAATGGGTACAAGTCTATTTATGATCTGTCTCTAGAAATCTGGCAACTATGTGTGAAATTTTCAGCAGTCATACCTTTTTACCCAGTAGCAGAGGGTCCTTACTGCAACAGTGTTTTAATAGAGAGAAGGAAACAGTCTGGGTGTCAGCAGCACACGGTTGAAGAAGTATTTGCAGTCTGTGGGAAACTCGCAGCTGAGGAGAGGGAGTTGGACATGGGGCACTCGTGGACCGTTACCAAGTGACAGGAGCAGGTCGCCGTCTGGGGGATGTGATCCTGCTTTCCACAAAGCAAAAATCTAAAGCACTGTGTCTGTGTCTTAAAGTGATATATACACATACCGATAGGGATCTGAGGAGTACTGGTGGTATAGTGGCCTAAGCATTTTGGCTGCTAACCAAAAGGTTGGTGGTTTGAACCCACCAGCCACCTCTTGGAGAAAGCTGAGGCAGTTTGCTTCTGTAAAGATTGACAGCCTTGGAAACCCTCTGGGGGCAGTTCTGTCCTGTCCTCTAGGGGTGCTGTGAGTCGGAACCTACTCGATGGCAGTGGGTTTGGAGTGGATATCTGTGTGAGCACAGACACAGCCCAGTTACTGTCAGGCGCAGAAGAGTGGGAGTGGCTCTGGTCTTTGCCTTCATCTCTGGCTTCTCAGGCTCATTGCCCTGATACACAAGCATGTCCAGGTGGTCCCCGACTTAGATGGGGCTCTGTCCGGCGACTGTTGTCAGTCAGTTCTGATGTAAGTCAGCTACCAACCTCGTTTTGTCTGTTGGTTATAAATACTAGGTAGTTCAGATAGTTTAGAACGGATGCATGTTGCTGGTGAATTGAACTTCTTGTTAATATGTAGCGATCTTTTCTGTCCCTAGTAATTTTTGGTTCTGTTGTTGTTATGTGCCGT